TGTATATGTGACATCATGGCAGGAAAAATAGTTTTTGCAGCTCCTTCTAAGCCCCTAGTTTTGCAACAGATTGAAGCATGCCATAACATTGTAGATATACCACAGGTGAGGCTTTCTAGCCCTCTTTTTTTGTGACTGACTGTACCTTTGTGTTTCTAGTTTATAGTTTGTGGACACAATAACAACAAACCTAGTATAATTCTAATTATGTTGGGGCCTGGGGGTCAAGATGTGCGCAACCTTACCCCGGTAAAACAAAAAGGCTGTTTCTGTTAGACCCTTGATGCACAGATGCATTTAGAGCTTGTTCTCTTCAACTTATTTTGATTACTTATTCTTACTAGAATCCTATCAAACCAGATTAGACCAAATCAGATAAAAACAACTTTAAATATAACTACAATTAGAGATCAGATCTTAATAGAATCAGATCAGATCTAATTAGATTAGACAAAAAGAACAAGCTCTTACTAACCAAAACTTCATAAAACATAAGAAGGAAGGGAAGCTAAAACGTTGTTTCCTTTAGATTTTTTGTGGACACAATATGTTTACATATTTACAAACTCTGAGACAGTTTTTACTAAATGGAATGCAGGAGTGTGCGATTGATCTTACTGGTCAAACAAGTCCTATTAGAAGAGCTAGCTTTTGGAAAGAAAAACGAGTTTTCTTTGTCACTCCACAAGTGCTGGAGAGGGACATCCTTTCTGGTTAATTTTACTTTCTGATTTGTTTTCCTTTTAACAATAGATTCATGATAGTATATACTTGCAATTAAATGAATCAAAATTTGTGTTAGTCTTAGAATACCCTCAATGGCAGGTTTAGAGATTGTAGAATATAATAAAAAATTATAAAGAGAGAAAGGAGGAGAGAGTAGAATCTGGAGATAGTGATTGTGGAAACACAAGTATGATGGAGAAGGAAGTTCCACAGAGAAGCTACCTATATGCTTTCTTTTGTTTTTTCAATTTTTTTCACTGTTTTCCTTATTAACATTCAATTAGGATATCTAAACCCCAATTCCCATTGGGGACTATCTTACAGAGAGGTTTCTAAGCTTTAATTTTTTAAATGCTTTTAGACTTAATGTTTGAACGATGATGCTATGTTCTTAAAGTAATACTGTATTAGCGTCTTTTGTTTATACCGTTCTCTTTAAGATGGGATGATGGATAAGGAATGACATAAGAACCTTCCTATTGGGAAGTAAGACATATAACCAACAAACCAAATCCGAGGAGTCTATATGTGAATCATGGGACTACTTTGACTTAAATTTTAAACCCTAATACTTTTGAGAGTAGAGATAATAAAATCCCTTTTTAGCATCTACAATAGGATATTATAAACTTATACCCTCTCCATCCCAATTTATGTTCATTTTGATTGAGCATAGAGTTTAAGAAAGTGAAATATGGGTGGTTGAAGTTTATGGTTAATTGACACATAATGCTTTCTATGGTATAGGTTTCTGAACTTGTTCATTGGAAAATGAAATTTATACCTTTATGCTTCTAAAGTTGCTTTTTTTGTAACTTGTAAAGCTGTAAACTTCTCTTCTCGTTTGGAAGCTTGAAAGGATGTATTAATTCCATTCAGGTATATGCATGGTGAAACATCTAGTCTGCTTGGTGATTGATGAGGCTCATCGTGCTACGGGGAATTATTCTTATTGTGTAGTGGTTCGCCAGGTTTGTGTTGACTTTCTTTTCTATACAAAACACAAACTCTCGCTATCTCTCAAGCATTTGCACACACAAATGTGCGCTTGTTTGAGAAGAAATTATGAGGAAGTGAGTTGCAGAAAGAGAAAAGGGTAGGAAATATAGAAAATTTAATTGCTCGGTTGGAAATAATTTTGAAAAGGAAATGGAAAGGAAGTGGGAACAGAGTGAAAAATTCTCCCCCCATTTATGGAGCGAAATGGTGGGGAAATTTTATTTTTAAGTATGCATTCTTTCACACCCTTTCCTCATACCTTTTTTTGCACTTGGCCGCATCTACCTTGTGCTGTGCCGCCTCGCGTTCAGCCATCTCCAATAATAAATTTAAAATAAATATAAATATTTTCAATGATATTTACTTTATTTAATATTTTTAATTGTAATAAATTTGTTACTACATATATTGGAAAAAAACTAAAAATACTTTTCAATAGTTAAATAGGATTTTTATTCCGTATGAATTATTTTTTAAAGGGTACATTTGTAATGTTATTTCTATAATTACTTCTTTCTTCCCTAATTTCTTCCCACCAAACAATGGGATTTAACTTTTCTTCAACCCACTCCATTTCCTTCCCTTGCAAAAACACTCATAGGGATGGAGACTAGACTTGGGGACCACATTCACCTCCATTTATTGTAAGAATGAATAGATATGATTAGATTAATATCATACCAACATTTTAAGGACCTGTTATTTATTAATTTGTATTATTTATTAATTGTCCAGTGATATAATATTAATGTATTACATGCGAGACTCTCAACACACACAAATACACACAAACACAACCTCCGTCCTAGTGTATTTGTCCAGTTTGACTTTTTCGAGTCAAATTGGGTGAATTTTGAGCTTCAATTACTCTCAAATTGTATTGCATATTAGTAAAATGAAATACAATTTTGAAAATTCTCAGCATGACAAATTTAATAATATCATTTTTATGCTAAAATACGATATAATTTTTGTTTAATTGAAGCTCAAAGTTCGTACATGTTGACTCAAAAAAGTCAAATTGGACAAATTCACTTGGACGGAGGGAGTATATGTATGTATGTATGTATGTATGTATGTATGTATGTATGTATGGATGGATGGATGGATGGATGGATGGATGGATGGATGGATGGATGGACGGACGGACGGACGGACGGACGGACGGACGGACGGACGGACGGACGGACGGACGCACGCACGCACGCACGCACGCACGCATATATGCATGCATGCATGTATGTATGTATGGACGGACGGACGGACGGACGGACGCACGCACGCACGCACGCACGCACGCATATATGCATGCATGCATGTATGTATGTATGTATGTATGTATGTATGTATGTCCAACTGTTCAGCATTATGCTCTCTGATGAAAATGTTGTTTTGAATTTCTATAATGACAGACAAAACTGTTATTGGTTTTATTCATGTTTTAGTTGATGGCTGTACCTATACAACTCAGAATACTGGCTTTAAGTGCTACGCCTGGATGTAAGTATCTATTCATTTTAAGATTCTTAACAATGCAACATACACCGTATTATTTGTTTTCTTTCTACCTTGCCTTGTCTGATAATTTCTAATTCAGCTAAGCAGCAGGATGTTCAGCATATTATTGATAATTTGCAAATTACAACACTAGAATATCGCAGTGAAAGTGACAGAGATGTGCTCCCTCATGTGCATGACCGAAAGATAGAACATATTAAGGTACACATTATTTTGGCTAATTTAAATTGTTTGTTATCTTATGTGTGTCTCTACTCTTTTGGGCTGGAGTATTTACTGGGTTGTTTTGTGACTCAACAGAAGCTTACTATCTTGAAAATCACAACATAAAGGCAACATTTTTTTTGTCAATTGATTATAGGTCGCTATGGGACAGGAGGCTGATGAAATTAATAATCTTCTCATGGATGTAATATTGCCATTTGCTGCACGGCTTTCTGCATTTGGAGTACTTCCGAATAGGAATTATCAGACAGTATGCATCATTTTTTAAGCTATTAGAGTTTGATTGTGAAGGAGGGGAGATAAATTTCTCCTCTACCATGTTGATTAGAATTTTGTGGATGTAAATATTTGAGGGAAGGAAACCTTTTAAACATTCCCCAGAACCCTTCTGAAAATTGCGGGATTTGGGCGTGAGGGGACCTTTTTATGTTAAATAGACCAGAGAAGATCTTAAAAAACATGCTCAAGACCAAAAAGATTCAAATCAGGCAACATCTTACAAAATTTCATAACTGATCACATTTTTCACACAAAAAACAATTGGTCATGAACTCATAAAACATGCACTGAAAAGCGGATCTTCTTCCCTCTTCATTTGGTCTCCCTTTCTTCACTTCCCTTTTAGTGCTTATGATGATTGTACATTTTCTTTTCGCTTGCATTGATTTTGAATTAGATTTCATCACATGTCCAAATAATATTTTTCTTAATGTACAGCTCAGCCCATTTGAGATAATTGATGCACGGGCCAATTTTCGTAGAGATCCACCAAAGGACATTCATGAAATAAAGTATGGAGATATTGAAAGATATTTTGGAGTCCTTTTGACACTGTATCATGTTCGAAAGCTACTCTCAAGCCATGGAATAAGGCCTGCATTTGAGATGCTTGTTGAAAAGCTGCGAGAGGGGTTTGTTTTCCACACTTTTGGCTGGCATTATTTGTCATGTATATATGATTTTCAAACTTCTGACAGTTACGTGGCCTGTCATATGGCATTTTAGATTCATTTTCTTATAAAATTTATTTGACGAATTCCTGAAGTACCTAATTTAGGATTATTACACATGTCTTAGCTAATAGATCCGAATTCATGCATTTTCAAAATTCTTTGTTTCCTTGCCTAGCTAAATGTCCCGGTGTCAGAAAAGAATTAGAAGTATTAAACACACATTTATTTTCCTCTTTTCATGGTTTAAATGCATCACGTATCCCTAAAAATTCTTCAGTTTGCTGAACATATTTCTTATATTTGCAGGTCGTTTGCTCGACTAGTGAGTAGAAACGAAATTCTTTTAAAAGCAAAACTCCTAATGCAGAAAAGTGTAGATCATGGAGCTCCAAATCCAAAACTGTCAAAAATGCTTGAGATAGTGATTGATCACTTCAGTATGCATCTTGGACATTAACTTCTGTTTGCATTAACTCAAAGTTCAGTGTATTTGTTCATAGACTACTTTTATGCATTGCTTACACACACAAACATTTTTTTTACCTGGAGCGGTCCACCAAAATCAGTGGGGCTATGACAGGGGAACCGTAGCCAATTTATTAAAATGGAAAAGAGACCAATTACAAAATGAGGGCCAAGCAGAGCGCTCAACCATCAGGGACAGGCACTGGAAGAAACATGGACTAACAAACAAAAAAGAAAATGGGGAAGATGGGAAAAGTAACAGCTGGGCTAAACACCACCCAAGTTCTCTGCCTTAGCTTTTACAGCGCCATTCCAACCACCAAATTGGAACTATCTTCACAATTAGAGAAGGAGATCAACCAACTCTAGTTCTGTCAGCTATATCTTCTCCATATTCTACCCTAGAACCCAAACCTTTGTTCCAGCAGAGGATGATCCCGCTTTCAGCAATATCAGAGCAGTACATCATACAGGAAGAGGTTTTATTTCTCCAGCTCCACTTATAAATGAGTTTGTCAATATCCGTTTGGAGATTGAGAGTATTAAAGTGACCCCCCTCAAACTTGAGTCTGTTGAAACTCTTCCATATAGCCCAGGTAATAAAGAATGGGATGCAAGCCCTTAGAATAGCTTTAACATTTTTGATGGAAGAGGAAATCAACCATTCAACAAGATGTTGGCATAGGGTAAGGCCCCCTCTAAGCCCTGGACCATCAGTAATATTAGCATAATGATCCCATATATGAGATATGCAAGGGCATTAAAGCATAGTGTGATCCAAGGATTCTTCAGCCCCATTACAAAAATTGCATTTACTAGGATAACTGAACCTAATTTTCCTGAGATTTTCTGGAAATTCAATTTTATTTTGCACCAGCTTTCACATTAGGAGTTGCATTTTACCATGAACAGTAGAGTTCCAAATATATTTAGCTGTGAAGAGCCTGTTTTCATTTTCTCTAATTGCATCATAGGCTTTACTCATTTTAAATTCACCATCATTGTTGCAAAATGATTCTTTCAAGGTACTAGCCTCTTCATCAATCTTGCAGATTCTCTTCCATATACTAGAATCATAAGCTCGTTCTCTGAGAGCAAGATCATCTCTCCCATATTAACTCCTCATGTACTTAGCCCAGAGACTATCAGAATGCTTGAATTTCTACCAGAGCTTCAAGGAGTAGGCATCTTGTACATCGTTTAGGTTTCTAATCCCTAAACCCCCTTCTTCCTTAAGAATGCTGATAGAGCTCCAACTTTTCCAGTGATGCTTGGGTTTTCGCTCTTTGTAACCCCAAATAAAGTTACTCATTTTAGATTGGAGCTGAGATGATGGACTTAGGCCGAGTAGAAATTGCAAAAATGTGAAGGGGAATTGAAGATAGCACATGCTTAGAGAGAAATGAGAATTAACCTACCTACTGGGTTAAGGGCTTTGCTATGCCAAGCGAGAGTGTACTTGTCAAAATGATTGAGGATGGACTCACAGTCTGCCTTCTGAGGTTTTCCTTTGGTAATATTAACACCTAAGTAAATGAATGGGAGATCCCCATGTTGCATATCAAGAGCCCTGGCCATTCTGTGGATTCGGTCCCTGTGGCATTTTGAGCTATTGAAGAATTTACTCCTTCTGAGGTTGACCTCCTGACCAGAGGCTGTAAGGTATTCCCATAAAATAGCTTTGAACATCAGGAGGTTTCTGGTATCCCCATTAATAAACACAAGTAGATCATCTGCATAACCAAGGTGAGAGGGTGCCAAAACAGAACCTGCATTATAGGGCTTAATGAAACTGGAATAGATAGCATGATTGATGGCTCTAGTAAATCCCTCACTACCAATAATGAACAACAAGAGGGACAAGAGGTCCCCTTGTTTAACACCTTTTTCTATCTTGAAGAAACCTTCAGATTGACCATTTACCAGAATGGAAAGGTAGGTGCTTTCTAAATTGGCAAGCATCAATCTTCTGGCATGGTTGTTGAACCCCATTTTGCCAAGAACAACCTTTAAATATGTCCAAGAAAGCTTATCAAAAGCCTTAGCCATGTCAAGCTTAGTGATCAGTGATCACATTCCCCCCCTGCCACCTTCTTGTCCAGTAGGTGGGCCAACTCCTGAGTAAGAAGGACTTGGTCATCAATAGTCTTCCCTTTAATAAAACCAACTTGTTCCGGGGAAATGATGTTATTGATGAAAGTTCCTAGTCTTGTGGCCAAGATTCTGGTATTAATTTTGCTCATAAAGCTAGATAGAGAGGTCTGATGATGCAGAACTCACCGAACATGAATGTAAAGCTCACTAGACCCCAATGCAAAGCTCACCTCGGACGAATGAAAAGCTCATCAATCTGGACACAAATACTTATCATTTTTTTTAATATAAAAAGAAAGTTGGACCACTAGTCAACCACCTGCTACGGCGGCAGCGACTGGCGGGGCGGCGGTCAGGCGGTCAAAGTCCAGTCATTGGAGGTCAACATGAGTCAAAGTCAAATCAGCACCTCCTTTGATTTTTTTTTTTTTAAATTCAAAGTGTGAAAAAATCAAGGTGAGCTTTGCCATACATTTTGGTGAGCTTTGCACTTGGTGTGGGTGTGCTTTACAGTTGGCTTTGGTGAGCTTTGCATCATGTGACCGTAGCATGCCATTTCACTGAAACTTGTCATCTAAGTCTAACCGGAGTCAACTCCTATATATATATATATATATATATACTTATATATGTGTGTGTGTGCGCCCACCATTTGTGCACATCATGTTTCACATGTCCCATGCGTCACTACACATTCACACGCTATGTGTCACTCTTTTCTACATTGAATGATCATTATATTTTCTATATTATACTAAGTATAAAAACCCTACTCTTTTTGAACTATTTTACCAATTTGTAATTCACCTTTGTATAATATTTTTTTAAGATGCATAGTGGTTTTATTATTTAAAAAAGAGTCATATAAACTTTATTACTTTTACAAAACGCTTTCAATGTAGCAATATGATTGTGTTGTTAATACACTTTAGTGCCCTACCAATCATATTATCATTGTTTTAATGGAATTTTATAACTCCATTTTGATCACTTAAACCATAAAAATAAATTATATGTAATTGTCTATTTTGGATTATTAAGATTTTATTTGATCATTTTCATTTATTTATAGCATAAATTTTTTTTAGAATACTTATAATACTTTGAATCTCTTAAAGTTCTATATTAGTTCTTCTAGACTTTATACCTTTTACATAAATGATTTGATAAAATCAACTTCCATTAAAATTATTGGTTTCCATTGTATTTTGGTTCACCATTTTTTTATTATATGAAAATATCTGTTTTTTTAAAGTTTTGAATTATTTCATGTATATTTAATCTTAAAGATTTAAGATACAAGTTTTTTTATAAGCAAACAATTACTCCGTAATTATTTGTAACAATTTTTAATAGAGTTCTTTTTTGTTCTACTCTCAATAAAAAATTTTAATGTTGTCAATTTTATGAAGTACTTTGTACTATTTTATTATTAACAACAATTATAATAATGATGATAATAACGATGAGGATTATTACTATCAAAGTATTCTTAAGTTTTTATAAACATATTCAGAGCAATGATTTTGAATTTGGCTTGATTGATCTGATCGATTAGACTTGAATTATTATGCATCCTAGCTTGATTTTTGCTCTATAATAAAAATAGCTAGTAATAAAACATTTTTAATGTAAATAGATTGAAAGAAATAGAATAAAAAATAAAGTCATACTTTAAATTTAAATATATTAAAGTTTGTTTAGTATCTTTCTTCATACTTTTGCTATGTACTTCGAGAGATGGAATTACAAAACAAGGAGATATTTTATTTATAAATGAATTTTGAAATGTCTTTTAAATAAATAAAATTATACTTTAAAACTGAAATATAATTTTATAAGAATGTTAAAAGTATTAGACTTTATATGAGCCCATGAAATCCCACAGTTGGGGTCCAGGAGGGGTGGGTGTAGACAGGCCTTACCCCTAAGGAAAGGTTTAGAGGCTATTGCTTACACTAGTATGTATGAGTAAATTATCGAACCTTTTTTTAATGCTAAATTTCACTGTTCGTATGTATCTGTCTTACATGACCTGTAATGTTAATAAAAATAAAAGCATAGATCAATAGTTACAGGAGAAGCTAAGATAGCGGTCTTATTGTTGCATCACTGTAAATATTACGGCAGGAAATCAATTTCCCTTTTGGCTTTTTTGGACTTTGAATATCAGTATTAGGGCTCTTATAAACTCACGCTTTAAAAGTACTTGAGATATGTTTGGTACCAAAAAAATGAGATTTAACACAACATTTAAACATGCTTTATCACTCTATATGTACAAAATATGGTAGTGGCTTTCCTTTTGCATGTTTAAAAGTTGGGATTTGCTTTTGCTTGTTTTTGTGTTGTTATGAATATATTTAGCAAATAGGGAGCAGCTGACCTATGTGTGTCATCCTCATGCAGAAATGAATGATCCCAAGAACTCAAGGGTTATCATCTTCTCAAATTTTAGAGGAAGTGTTAGGTAAACTAGTTCTGCTCCTTGCTGTTTAATTTTTTATATGCTGTTCCTAGAGCAAAAAACATTCAACTCTCTTTTCCTTAATGGTCTTATCTTGCTTCAGGGACATAATGAATGCATTAGAAAACATCGGACCATCTGTTAAAGCCACAGAGTTTATAGGACAAAGCTCAGGTGTTTGAATTTTACAGATTATGATTCTTCCTTACCATTTGGCATACTTAATATTTAAAAAAAACATTTACTCAGTAGTTTGTTTTGATGATATGTGTATGCCCTAAATACAATTGATTTAAAGAAAACTTTAGTTTGTTTTGATGAAGTAGAAAATATTGTAGGCAGGGACTAAAACATGCTTCATTCATTGAGCATAGAATTCATGCTGGGGTTGTGGTTTTGAAGTGATTAGTTGGTGGTAATCAGAAAAAAGTACATTTTTTCTTTTTAATAATTGATTTAGTAGTCATTTACTGCAAAGCTGAGAACATTTAAGTATAATGGAATGGGTTCTCATTATTATAAACCTAGGGTTTGCCTAGTAAATTTATTTAACTATCCTTCTCGACTGTTTTACAGGAAAAACATTAAAGGGCCAGTCACAAAAGGTTCAACAGGCTGTTCTAGAGGTAACTAAAATTGTTTTCTTTGGCTTTATCTTTTTACATCTTACAGTGTTATTTTCAGGGAGTATCTTACAGTTTTCTTTTGACTTTGGAAACAGAAATTTCGAGCTGGTGGGTACAATGTCATTGTTGCAACCTCGATTGGAGAAGAAGGCTTAGATATAATGGAAGTTGATTTAGTTATTTGTTTTGATTCTAATCTCTCCCCATTGAGAATGACTCAGCGCATGGGGAGGACAGGAAGGAAACACGAAGGGCGAGTTGATATCCTTTGGTCATCTAGCTTGCTTATTACAAATTTTCTGCTGTATGTGGCCTAAATATCTGCTAAGCATATAACCATGGGTAGGCTAAGCATTAAGCTTGGTAGCAATTAAGCTGAAATTTATTATTCAAAGATTAGGAGGTCATGCCTTAAGCTGGAATATATGATATTCCATATTTCTAAATCCTAACTTGGACTAAGACATGCAATCACAAATTAAGATATGTACTAAACTAACTAGGACAATTATAAATTAAATAGGATTTACTGGTTAATCCAGTGCTTTGCAACTAGACCTTTGGTAAACTCATAACCCATCTTTCTGGAGGCACATAATTCGGACAGCTTTTTTTTCAATACACTAACTGGTTCTTGGGTCACATCTTCCTGAGGCAAAGAGACCCACTGAACTAGTGCAACCCATAGTTATGAAAGGCGAGAGGCGGGCGAAGAGTAGATTTTCAAGGCGAAAGGCAGCATGAGAGGTGGGCGAGGGGTAGATTTTCAAGGCAAAACGCGGTGCAAGAGCCAGGGGAAGGTTCTAATGACAATTCACAGGTGGGGCATTGTGATTGGGTGACGGCAGTCGGCAGGAATGCCTGAAGTGGTGGGAGAGTGATAGTTGCCACAAGGAGGGAGCAGGGCAGTTGAAAGAGGTATTCGGAACATAGATGGGGATGGTCAAGTCTATGGCTTTCTCCAATTTTTTGGCTTCACTAATCTGACATCACTGCAATATCTTCTTTCTCTTTTTCAGCCTGGCAAAAACGTTCTGTGTACTTTTCTGCCAAGTTGGTAGTTCATTCACCAACTTTTGAAATTTTTCTATATATTCCCTCTAGCTGCCTAATGTTTCATTCACCTCCTCATAAGCCCGTCCCCTAAAACGTATTTCTTCCATGTGATCTGCTTTTTTTTTGAGATGAGACGTGAGAGTACCATCTCCACCATTTGTTCGCTTCTCCGAAAGTAGCCAAACTCCCAAACCTATTTTCTTTTTGGACCCATAACTACCCATGACCTTGAAGTAATAAGGGGCTTGTGGGTCTTCTAGTGAAATTTTTGGGAAAGCAAGATAGATTGGCTCGGGTTGTCCCAACTCTTATTTTCAATTTTCTTGTTCCCTAATTCTCGGTTTTGGACTTTGAATGTGGTGGAGTTCACTTCTTCCTCTGAATCTTGTTGTGACGAAATATCCCTTGATCAATCATCTCCTTGCGATTTTCAGGAGTTGAAGATTAGGAAATAAATGTATGTTTTGGCAATTTGTTCCAACTTCTCAAAGATGGTATCATTTGAAAATCGTAGACACCAACACGTTGCTCCAAATATTGAATTTTGTATTGGTTCTATATTCCTTGGGCACCGGAATTTAACATTTTGGAGTATCGTTAGACTGGGTAAAGTCATTCTTGCCCTAATACAAAATTGTTAAGAGAATAACAGTTGATAGTTGAGCAATTAAGCTAAAATTGAGTTGAAAAAGGAAAGGTGGAAAAACTCAGTGGCGGAGAGTACTAAACTACCTACAACTTGGACAAACAATCGTAAACTAAATGGGGTTTTCCTTAGTTAATGCAGAGGTTCGGTCCTATATGTTTGGTAAACAAAAATAACCAATAACCAATTAGTTTCCTTTACTGTTTCCACTAGTTTTAGCTTGTGAAGGGCAAGAACTCAAAGGGTTTCTGCGAAAGCAAGCAACAAACAAGACACTGGGGAAACTTATGGCGAGTGGTGGAACAAAAGCCTTTAGGTTTCATCCCAGCCCTAGGATGGTATACCTCTAACCATTGAGTTTGTTGATTAGTTTCATGACAAGTTTTACCTTTATAATTTCTTTGTTGGGTATGTAAATTATGTTAACCTTTTGCAGATTCCACATGCTATCAGACCAGAAGTTCAACATGTTAAGCTTTTGATTGAAACATTTGTTCACCGCGGGAAAAAACCAAATGATGTTCACCCTCTCCAAATTCCTGTATTGGGAAATAAACTCAGTGACACTGAAATCAAATTGCTTGCAAAATATTTCAACAACTCTGGAGAGAGCTTGTGGAGGCCATCGTTAATTGCATTCCGTCATCTCCAGGCATTTCCATCTAGGGTGCATCGTGTACCACATTCATTTCGAACAGAGATGCTAATAGATGCAATGCAACATTTGGAAGGGTTATCATGTTCTAGTAATTTTGAAGCTTTAAGTGAGGTTTGTTCTCAACCCTGGGAAAATTTCATTATCTGTAGAATAATTTCAGTATTTGACTTCTTTGATGCCACAGGTTGGAACTTCTAGAGCTCTGTACATGGGAGGCAAAGCTGCAGAACCATGTGAAAATGGCAAAGCTGAGGACCAGCCGGACCCATATGAAAATTGCGAAGGTAAAACCGTATCAAACTTTGACAGCTTTTCATCTCTGTAGTTTTCACAGCACGATATTAAGATGAAAATGTATAACCAATTGTTTATGTGTGATCCTGAGACGGATGATGGTTTAAAGGCACATGCCCAGGCACGCAAGCACTGAAGCACATGCACATCACTGGGCATGAGGCGCGTAACAAAAAGCGCATAACTGGTCTCTAAGCGTGAGAGTAGACACGAACCTCAAATGTGCCTCACGCTTCGAACAAGTAAACCCACATAGTGCCTTAGTGCGCGTAACACTTTAAGGGATTGAAAAGATCCCCGAGATTTATGAAGAACCTTCCCTTGCTTCTGGCTAGAAGAGGAAGAACTTCGGATCCTATGGTCCGTGAATAATTAGAAAATTTTTTTCAATTGTTTCAAAGATGATGATTTTTTCAGTTAATGCACGAGTATCAATGGGAAAAAGCTGTACAAGAGACCTACCATAATCATGCTAGGTAACATGAATCCTTATTAGGAATACAACAACAAACCCAATAGAATCCTATGAGACAACAAACCCAATAGAATCCCTTGGTGTTGTCAATTTATAATTTTGCAAGTTTTGTGAAAAAACACTAAAAATAAAAAAATCAAAACTTTTAGAATAATAATAAGCTCAAAATTATACTCGAAAAAAGAAAAAACATAATAGCTCTGTGTTTACATGTAAAACAAGTACAGTTCTTAGATGTATCATGATCTGCATGTGCAAGTTTCATCTCTTTAAATCACAAATTTCCAAAAACATTACAAAGTATAAAATTTTAAGCATATAGTCAAAGGTGTAATATTACTTTCGCCATTATAGAGAAAAAATGGAAAATACACATGAAACAAAATTAAACACTTCAAACATCTCTAGATCTGCATGTGAACTTGCAGATCTAATGAAACACTCATTACACATGACTTCAAACATCTGTATATCTCCATGTGAAATTGCATATCTAAGGAAAAAACTAAAAAATTGGGACTTAATTTTAGTCATGGCCAAGTATATGTTGTTGTCTCTCAAGTAATAAATCGTCGTGGGTTGAAGGTCTTAATTTGCAAAGATGACATAGCCACTTCAAATACAACAACAAATGTGGTTAACAAAGAAGTCTTCCAAATTCTTTAATCTCTTTAGCATTATAATCTATCATTATTATCTTCAAAGATTGCATGTAATCTGTTAAATATTTACATTTGAATGTGTACTTTTATCTGCTATGAGTCATTTTAAAAAATCTATATCAAATACCCTAGATGCATACAATTGACCAAATTACCCGCCGTGCAATGCACGGGCACGAGTACTAGTAACAACAACAACTAATTTTGTAAGAAAACAAATCGAGCACATGTTCAAGCTTGTTTTAGGCCCATGAAATTATATATACTCTAAAATGCAAGATCACGCCTATTGATCACCTAGGCAATCCTTTTATACCATGTCAACAAACCAAACCAACCACGAGTTCAATCTTGTGGTTATAGGCCAGGGAATGATTTTATACTCTTAACATAATTAATTATTAAATCATAGATTCATAACATCACCCCTCCCGTGAATTTGAGCTTGTCTACAAGCTCTAGGTATGGAGATTGGAGACACAATCTTCGCCAGCCATTTGGTATGTATTCCTCTGCCTTAGAATCGTCTAGGACTGCAATAAAAAATAACTGATTGCAATAGTCTTCAACCGTGTTGGTCTGCATTAAGAGCCACAGTTTGCCCACTGGTCCCTGTCGAGGGGTTGCCCAAAACGGTCAACATGAAGTTCTTTGAATAATTTTCTGTCCCTGGTGCCTTTTTATTCCATCATTTTATCCTACCAAAGCTGGGCATCGTCCAGCAACGGGCAAGAAACAATACCAACTTGGTCTTTGTCAAAGATTTTTTGTGGTGAAAAACATTTCACAACACTTTAGCCAACAGATCGGATCAGAAGTTTCAGCAAGGGTTGGTAATTCCATCATGGCGTATTGAGGTTGTAGAGGTCATTTAGAGCCACTACAGAAACCCCATGTTCTGTGAATATTGTCATTGTGGTAACCTAGGTTCTCAGAATCCTTCACCATATGTGTGTGAATGTGTGATTCTACCCCTTGGTGTATTCCTTGACACTGTGCCATTCTATGGCATGCAAACAAACTCCTTGGCATTGCTGGTGACCTTCGCCATCAGCAACGTGTAGATTGTCTCCAAACCTGCAATTCTGTCGATGATGCTGGTGAGCTTGGTGGTGGTGGCTGCCATGAATTCCCTCAATTGGGTAACCAATTGCTAGGGATGTGAAGGGATCCTTGAGATGGATAAAGAACCCCTCCCTTGCCCGCGGCTAGAAGAGGAAAAATTCAGATCCTGTAGTCCATGACTAGTTAGGAATATATGTTTAATTGTTTCAACGATGATGGTTTTATCAATGGTTGCACATATAAATTGGTAAAGCTTTACAAGGGACCTACCACAACCCATTGTTATTAAGGGCATGTTTGGTTGGAAGGGAGGGAAAGGGAGGGAATAGAAAGGGAGGGGAGGTTTCCCTTCACTTTGTTTGGTGGGAAAAAGGGAAGGAAAGATCTTCTATCTGCTCATTTTTTCTTCATTTTATCGCATCTCCATTTTCATCTTCTCAAACCCTTCTATTCTCCATTTTCATTTTCTCAAAACTCCCCTTTTATCGTCCTCAGTTGTTGAAAAAGAACTACCTGCTCATTGGATCTGGAAGACTGAACCAGTTTTAATTAATACTACGTAATTGAAAAAAGTTTGTTGCAATGGAGTTGTATAATGATGGGAACCCGATAATGCCAGTCCATTCAATTTGGAAAAGAAGAGAGGATAAGAGACAAAAAAAGAGGAAGAAAAATTGCAGAGCCAGAGGAGTCGGAAGAAGAGGAAGGGAGAGAGATATGAAGGAGAGGAGAAATAGTGAGAGAGGCATAAAAAAGAAGAGGAAGAAAAAAACTAGGATAGACGAAGAAGACTGAATACAACCATGGAGAGCCAATCCGTCCGATTTGGGAGAGATGATTTGGAGGGGAGGGCTTTGGAGTTAAACATTTATGTTTCCTCCATTCCTATTTTTTTAACCAAATGAGGGGAGGGGTTCACGGTTCACCTTCCCACCCATTCCCTCTCCTCCCAGCCAGAATTCATTTAACTTGAAGAAAATCTGACCCTTCCCATCAGATTTAAAATTTCACAGCCGTACAATGTGCCCCTCCCAATCACATCATTGATGCCATCCTTGCTTGGCCGCCGATCTTCAATCGGTGTTGGTTTCATCACCCTCTCCTTCGTCTGGATAGTTTTCTTGTGTTTAAGTTTCTATTTTTTGTTATTTGTTTTGTTTTTCTTTTTTATTTTTTTCTGTCGTGTTCATGTTCGTGAGTTATTTTATTGATTTTTAACCTTTGGTGCTTTTAATTTCTTCCCCTTTTTGGATTTTTGAATAAGTTTTAACACCAATTTTTGTCTTTCACCTTTGATTTTTTGGGCAGTCTACACTCTACAGTTTAGTTCATTAAAAAATAATGTGATACCCGAGTATATTAATTGAGTTGCCCATCATTTTTTTGTTCATTTTAGATTAAGGCTCTGTTCCTTAGGCCTGATCTGATTGAATCTGATCTGAATATTTGATGTTTAGATCTGATTAGATCTGATTGGATATGATCTGATCTGATTAGATTTGATTTGGTGTAATTGAATTTAAATTTGATTTAAATTAAACATAATAATAAATATAATAATAATAAAAATAATAATAATACTTCATCTATCCTTTAATAATATGTAATAATAATAACAAACATATTTAAACTTATAATATTAATTAATATTTAGATGTGTGTAGCTTTAAATAAAGTAATGTGATTTAATCGAATAGTAATTATTATTTAATCCTTGAAAAGATATTAATATTTTTTTAATTATTCTTTTCCTGACTGATCTGATTGGATCTGATCTGATCTGATTTTAATAAGTAATAAGCAGAAAAAATAAGTCCTGCGGGATGGACCCTAAGTGGGGGATAACAATACCAACAAGAACTGCAATCATACAATTTGTTGTTCGTGTGATTGTGCTCTTTGTTGGTTTCTTGTTCTTTAATGTTGAAGGATATTGGTTTGCTATGCATCCTTCTTTGTATTGTTGTTTGATTGTTATGTTCTACCTTGAATCTTTGTATGGTTAAGATAATGATATTTCGTCTTTTAAAAATGTGATTATCTTTTATTTGTTTGGTTTTGACTTTTTTACAATACATTTATATTAATTAGATAACAAAATATTTTGAAAATATTTTACAAGATAAATCTAATGAAGTTACTTTTGTATCAATATCTAATATAAATTTGATTTAATTAATGGTCAAATTTTATCAATTTTGAATGCAAAAAATCAAAACTAGATGAATACTTTGCGACAGAGGTAGTATACTAGCATGTCTCTCTCTCTCTCTCTCTCTATATATATATATATATATATATATATATATATATATATATACATATATATATCATAACTTGTTTTTTGAAGAATCTATACTTTTTTTTGTAATTTATGTTTAATAACTTGTATATGACGTACTAAGTTGGGGGTCTCTTATGGAAACAACCTCTACTTTCAAGTAGGAGTAAGACCTGAGAACAACCCCAGACCCTATTTCTTGGGATTTGGGATTCTATTGGGTTGTTGTTGTTGTTGATCATATATAACATATGTGTATGTGATGAATGCATCAAATCATGTGTCATGTATTCCATTCTTGTGAGATGTGCACATCACAAAGGAAAACACAGGAGAGCATTAACTGTTTCAACTTTCAAGTCGTTGAAGGATTTAATCTTTTACGCAGTACATAGTATTTTGTTGCAAATTGTGTGTACATCTAGTGGTATATCCATAGATGATTGCTCATTGTTTTTCTAAATATTTTCTTTTGTATTTTCGTGTTATATTATTTTATTCTTATCATATTCATTCTTAAAAATGTTCATTTTGAATAGCACACATGCTTGTTCTTCTTTTAAGAACGTTTGTTTACATACTTACATAGTTGGATGTAGGATTATCATGATACATCCAAATGCATTATATATCTGCTACTATTTTGTGGTTTCAGATCTGGATATACTTGGTTGTTCACCTGAAGAAGAGTGTGAGATATTAGAAGATGATAAATATTCAGTTCCAGTCAAAACAATGGTTGTTGAAGGGATGGATTCTGAGAATGAATTGACAGGGGAGAATTCCCATGCCCACCTCTGTCTATTTGACTCGGAGCTTGTAAAGGTTGATAATCTAGGAAATGTTTTAGTCTCTTCGCCACAACTTTCTACCAAAGCAGCAGCTTCTGAGTCTAAATGTGTGGGTCCTGACGCGATGGAAGTGAAATTTCCAACAGAAGATGTTTGTCACTGTATGGATTCCAATGATCTTATCCATGAAAACACTATGGAGTTGAAAGGAGAATTTGCTGATCATGGAGAGAGAATGGATGAGGACATTCTGGTATCCAGGTTATGCGATGTGGATGAATGTCAACTACGTTTCCAGTCAGAACGAGTTCTTCAAACTCCTGTTTTCCAGGTAATGTCAAAAGATAATAGAGCAGCAAAGCATCCGGAAGCAATAATAACAGATAAAACAGACAATTTATTGAGTGAAGAATTGAGCAATGACTCCAAAGATGTGGAGGCACATAGTCCACGGCTAACTTACTTTATTATGAGTGGTGTTGTTCCAGAGTCTCCCATAAATAGTCCAGGTTAGTTCTACTCGTGTTACTTACTTTATAATATTGCCTAATGCTATCCCTCTTCTGAAACTAGTCTCTGATTTGTTTAGCAGAGAGAGAGAAGAATGTTCAAAAACTGAATTCGGAAGGCTTAGTGGCATCCATGCTACAGGATAAGAAGGTCAACCATTGTGGTACTAGTGGGGAAGATGGTTTTCCTTCACACGTTACAAGTTCAACTCCTTTACAAAAAGGAGAGGGATCAAGAACTTCCATGTCTTCCCATTCAAATAGTAATTGTATTAAACGAACTCCTTATGCAAAAATGTCAAGCCCAAGCTGCAGCAAAGACTGGCTTCTAGAATCTCAACACATGTCAGAAAGAGCTGGTGTAAGGAACAAGTTTAGAAGGTTGCGCAAGCTAGGTGATGGTTGTAAAGAAATATCTCAAGAATACACAGAAAAAAATAACGTTTCTCCCCAAAAAGTTGTAGGCTCTTGTTTTACGTCCAACAGGGCTGTGAGTCGTGTAACCAGGAGGAAGCACAGAGGTTAGAGTAATTTCAGCTGCCTTTCAACTCCAATGATGTTTATCTGATTTCTTCACAGATTACCCCCTATTTTTACATTTCCATTGCTTGTTGTCTTAGGCTTCTTATATCCATCTAGATTGGAAGGAATGAATAAATTATATTAGTTCTGTTAATATGAATTGCAGTTAGCTTTCGTGATCAGTTTTTTTATGCTATCTTCCTATCTATATTGTTTTGTTTTCAGGTGAGATGAGGCAAGTAAAAGATGCCAGGGCATTCCTTGAAGTGGAAGCTGAGTAAGTACATGATTGTTTTGTTGACACATTGTGATTACTAGCTAAATGCTTCTATTTCTCCATTTCAGTTTATAAGATGTTTTAATTGTTGTTCTTACTCAGGGTTTCTTCAGAAGGCTTGGCATCTGATGAAGAAGAAGAAGAGGAGGATTGTAATTCATATGATGGCAGTTTCATTGATGACCAGATAAATTCTCCTGCAGTGGACACTCAAGCTAACTCTTGTAGAATGGACATGATGGCAATTTACAGGTTCTTTCTTTGAACCTAGTGAAATATATTGCATTCAAGCTCACAACCCTTTATTCTAATAGTTCAGGGATTATTTATTCGTTTATCATTTGATCAGTTTATTTAGTTTCTATTTTGTTCCCAAGTACTTATTGGTTAGGACTCTTATTGTCAGCAACTAGTTAGTACTCCTATTTGGTAAGACTGATAAAGAATTAAATTTGTTCATTCTTTCTTTAATCTCCGTGGTTCTCTCCCGCTTTCTCTCTGGTGGCAACTTAGGCCTATAAGCGAAGTACATCTCTACCTTACATTTTGAGTAGTTGCTTATTTACTTCTAGGCTTGTTACCAATGATAAGTTTCTTTCTAGTGTGTTTTCCGGCAACTGCATTTACATTAATTCTTATCCAACCAATAAATTTGTTCTTTCATAACAGGCGTTCTTTACTTACTCAATCCCCAATGGAGCTATTGCCAAAAGCGTGCAGTTATCTCAGTCCAGATTCTTTGGCTACAAGAAGTGTGAAAGCAGTAACTACAAGCTCTTCAGGAACAATGGATCACCGAACACCCCAAACAGGCTTAGGGTCAACAACTAGAAAGTCAGAAGTCGTGCCTTATGCAACAACATCTGCATGTCCTTTAGGAGAGAATCGGAGCAAGACAGGGAGTCAAAAACGCAAATTTAGTTCTTGTGAAACTAGTCCACTACCCGCACGGAATTTGGAGAGTGATTTCTTGCAGCAGAATGGAGCAGGGGGAAGCCACTCTCCCTTGCCGGTACAAGAGCATAACAAAATTGAAAATGGGAACTTGCTGGATGATGATGATGAGTTTTTTAAAGGCATTGATCTTGATGCGATCGAAGAAGAAGCCGCTAAAATGCTTCAGCATAAACCACAAAGCGTCTCAGTTCACAATCAACCCATTTCAATTCCAGTTCCTCAAAACGTTGGTATTAGTGATTCTCCTTCATTTGATCTTGGTTTTTAATATTTGGACTAGATTTAACAGTAGAGTAGCAGTGTCTGTACACCTCTTGTACATAACTTATACCTTGTATGTGGCTTATCTTTATTCATTAATGGATAAAATCCACAGAATATGCATTTTCATGTAACAGTAATGCAACTTCACTTGTAAAGAAATGAAAATTTTGGCTGTTTAGCAACTTCACAGCATACTCCTAAAAATCATCATCTAAGATTACAAAATAATCACTGGTGCTTCTAGAATTTTTATAATTTAATAGTAATGAAGTATTTAAATTCTGGAAGCACCAATGACCATCTTCTAATTATATTCATGTAAAATTTCAAGTTTTCTTCGAGCTTCAATTTCTCCTTATATTGCTGCTGTGGCTGCCTTCTACACTATGAAAGCCAAGCCTTATTTTGTTTTTGTTTTTTTACAAGAGGGAATTGAACCTGATATCCGAGTAACGTTTCAAATGAATCAAATTAAATACCCAAGTATCTGAATTCATTTTTTTTAAATACGAATTTGAATTTGATTATGAAATGAATGCTTAATTTGATAGATATTTGAATAGTTATTGAACCTTAAATGTCTATTCAAATTTCAAAGTTATAACATAAATGGACCATGGTTGGTTATAAATTCTTTAATTTATGTTATTTCTTATACTGTACTATCTAATTAAAATTATTGTGCACTTGCATCATTTAAATATTACTCCGTATGTTTTACAAAATATAATTATTGAAAAACATACTCCGTATTTTTAAATTTTTATGACACCTCCGTCCTTAAGTATTTTTTTAATTTTGACTTTTTTAATTAAAATTGATAATTTGACCAATAGTTGAATAAAAAATATAATACGTAGTAGATATTGATACAAAATAATTTTATTATATTTATCTTATTAAGTATTTTTAAAATATTGTTTAAACATAATAATATACCATGTATATTTTATTTGATTATATGTCAAAAGTTGATTTTGGTTGATTGAAAAAAAGTTAATACTAGCTAACTACTTAGGGATGGTGGTAGTATTACATTTTCTTGATAAAATTTCACTTTCTATCTTATTTTGACCTGCATATTGTTATTTTAATACTTGATAGAAATTATTTCGTAATTAATTTACATAAAAATTAGGGTCATCTGGATAACTAGACAGTAAATTAGTTGTAAAAAATTTATAGCTACAACAATCAGAAGACACTTCAATTGTACCTTTTCTTTACAATTTATAGGTTCACTTGCCACCTAAACTTGATTTCATAATCCCTCAAATCCTTGTGGAACTCATCTACATTTTAAAACATTTTTTGTTTTTTAAATCTAAGTAGAATGCAACAAAGTCGGTATGGTGAGCTCAGAGAACCTCACCCAACAGATAAAAGAGAATAAAGAATATACAAATAAGAGGGGTGGGTGGTCCACAAAAGAGCCCAAACAGAGGGAAACAAAATCAGGCATTACATCAACATCAAGACAGAAAATCCCAAAATTTAACCTATTCCAACTCTCAAGCCTCTCATCGGCCAGAGTTCAGACAACCATCTTCTAGCTTCAACCACCTTTGTTATAGAAGAGTTTCATACCATGGGAGGCGATGTCTTGGTCAAAAACCATCGATGTAATATCATATTTTTCCGATCCTAATCTTGTACTAGGTTTTCAATATCTAACATACGTTTTTTGGTTGAACAGCTGTAGCCGTTGAACTTTACTTGATTGAGAGTCCTCCTAGTAAACCAGGAGATAATGTGAAGAAAGCTTTGTCTTAAAGAACCTTTAACATTGTACGTGGATGATGAGAACCACCGATAAATGCCAATGCCGTGCTGTCTAAAGGAGCAACCATTTCTAAGTCTAAGGGCATCCCAATGCAAGGAGTCTTGAAACTCTTTTAGACTCCTCTGCCATGTCAGTATTTTAATATTTCTGATTCCTCTTCATACTTTTTGGAAAACTACGCTGCTATTCAAATTCTTTCAAACTCTACCACATCAACATGATCTTTTATTTTTTTAAATTTTATTTTTAACTAACCAGTTATCCGATGTATAACTATATTATACATTAATTTTTCTACCAATTTGTTTATAAATATAATTAATCGTTAAAAAATAAAAAAAACAAAAATTAGAGAAATTTATATAAAATTAACACACATTAAATAAATAAAATAGAATGAGTGCATTTAATTAAATTCATTTATGTAAACACACATAAAATTTAAATCGCATAGAATAAAATTAAAAGCACAACAATCTAGAATTACATAAGTAGACATATTTAAAATGCATAATCTCTCCGTTTTGGTTTATCCTTAAGACAATGCCCAACATAAAGATATTTAAATATAAAATTGCTAATGGAATAGAAAACATAGAAAATTTAAATATAAAATTGCATAAGATAAAAAAACACATAAAACAAAAATAAAAGCACAACAAAATAAAATTATATGAGTGGATATAATTGACAATTGAGTTTTTTTCAATTGGGGTGGATTGGTTTTTTTATTACAAAATAAATGAAAGTACTTTTCTTTAAAATATAATTGTTATTGATTACACGCGTCTGATTTTTGTTGGATAGATTGACTTGAGAGACTTGAAAGTGAGTCTGGGAATTCAAAGACTTCATGCGTGACTTTCTTCATTTTCTGTGCACCTCAATAGTAAAGTATGTAGAAAGAGCCTTAAGGCTTTCCCTCGGACACTCTCCGGACACTCATTGAGGCTGCCCTGAGACCTCCTAAAAAGTCAAAGTAATGGGGGTAATTGTAGGAAAGTATAAAAAGGTATGATCAATCCCCTCAAAAGGCAGTAAATCCCATTTTTCATAAATATGTCGGAAATCCCAAGGAGTTATTGAAAAACTTCCACATAAAGAATTGTAGTTTTTTCATCATGATGTTGTTCGAAATATATTTTGCAAATATCTAACAAGTCTCACCACCCCTTAACAACCGAAAAGCCCTTTTAAAAAAGAACTTAGGATAGTCACCTTCCATTGAATTGAAGTTCTCTTCCCCATCATACATTGCTAGTTCATTAATTATGGAGACCCATTTTTCATAGAATATGGTAATATTATTTCTCAAGAAATAATTGAGGATACAAAGAGTATATATTATAGAAATTATCAGCAAAACCAGGAATCTAAGAATATAGATTGACTAAAATACTAATTTTACCAAAATTAGACTTAAAAATATATATTGTCTAACATCCCCTCAAGCTGAACAACACATCACGAGTGGAAGCTTGGAGACAAGAGTCCGAAAAAGAGTTGACAGGAGAGCTTAAGTCAGTAGATTTTCAAGTTGATCTTAAGAGAAAACATTCGAGACATTATATTCCCATCAATAACTTGTTCTCGAAAAAGCGACAATGAGTCCCTATACATGTCATTGGCCCAATCATAACCAGAGTATGATCTCAGCTGCAAATCACTATACTAGAACACAAGACCTCGATCAGTAGTGCCTTTTATAAATTGCAGGATCCTCTTCAAGCTCAGAAACTGAATACCAGGGCGAGTAGTAGTGAGATATTGGAAACCTCCGACAAGACTGTGGAACAAAGTATGATTATGGAAGGGTTGAACCCCCTCCCGCCCAAGTCGGCCGACCAAACTATTTTGATGCAAGAAAAAATATTAATTAGTTGAGCCAAGACTTAGAAAAATAAATGTGAGTTTGTTTTTAATAAGATCCTAAGCCTTTTGCCTCGTCCTCAAAGGACTTTAACGTCTTTCCTTGTGCTTTTTGTTCCTTAAATAATTCTTGTCATCGCATTTAAACTTTTTCACTTCATTCCATATCCACAGCAGTTTGTGAATAATAAAACCTACATAGAATAAATATTGGCATTTCCAAAATGTCAATGTTAACACCTATTCCATTACAAATTATTATTATTATTATTATTATTGTTGTTGTTGTTGTTGTTGTTGTTGTTGTAATGTTTATAAAGAATAGTAGTTTCTAAAATCCACATATTTTATGAATAATAAACTTTTTCACTTCATTCCATATCCACAGCAGTTTGTGAATAATAAAACCTACACGTATTTTATCAAGTAACATTTTTGCGTTGTAACATTTTCTAAAATCTAAGGGGGTGTTTTCTTGTGATGGTGCTTATTGGCTCATATTGTTCATAAGTAGCTTTTAACTTATAAGATGTTTAAAAGCCAAATATTCTTTCATGCAAGTAAAATGACTTAAATGATAGATAAGTCATTTGAGCATATTTATAAATGGTGAAGGATAATTTTATAAATAATCTAATCAAAATGAAGAAACTAAAAAAATAGCTCAAAAAATAAGTAAGACCTACTTATTTTCTCTAGCTTAAGTAGCTTATAAGTCAACTTATAAGTACAGATAATAAGTCAACTTATAAGAACAGATAAAAAAGTCATTAAGTAATTTATAAATTAAAAATTGCTTGTAGTACTTTTGACCAGCTTATAAACACCTAGAAACTCCCACTAACTTTATACATAATAAATTCATAATTTGCACTCAAAAGTTAAAAGTTCCAACACTGATTTACAAGGCGTTACAACGTGTCTAGTACAAAAGTATAACAAACCACACATTTTGGCCTGTTCTCTTTAACAAAGATACGCATTGCCTTTGCATCATATTTCTTTTAATATCCAGACCCTAGTTCTGAACACTTCATTCCAATTATCAGAGAAAATTCTATAAAGAGTATCTATTGCGAATTCCTACTTTAAACTACATTTCAACACCTTCTTCCACATCAGCCTCCCAAACCATCAATTGTCATAGCAGAGCTGAAGGGAGAAAAATCTAGATAATGTCGACCTTCGTCTTGATCAGCGGAACCTATATAAGCGCATAAAACGAGAACAAATTTCATATGGAGTAAATGTGCCTCTCAAGCATTGCTACCAAGGTCGATGTATCAGCTAGGTTGATCACGTATGTAAGTCGACCTGACCCATCATTCCTGACCCTTGATCGGTGATAATTTGGGGAGGAATCTACATTATTTTTTATCAAATTTTTGACCTGGAGAGGGCCTTCAGTGGCATTTGGGATTTTGATATGTTGTGCGGTCGTCTACTCCGCTTGATACCGTACCCATTGTAGAGTAGACCACATATACATTCTTTGTCCTCATTATAGAGATTTAATGGTTTTTGA